AAAATGGGCGAAGATTGAAAAAAAGAAAAAAGAAAAAAGAAGAGAAAATGTTTAGTAATATATGAAAGGAGTTAAGTAACAAACCTAAAAAGAATTGCTTCCCTCGAGATTCGAACTCTCGTTATCTCGGGTGCTGAGCGTTGTATATTCAGCTTCAGAACCAAAGCGGCTAAAGCACTTTAGTGTTTGTGGGTGCTCAACTGTTTAATATATTAATTTTAAAATATTTTATGTATAACTTTATACATTATGCGTTGAGATTAGTGGGTGCTCGAGCACCCAAAACCTACAACGTAGGTCCGCCCCTGATTAGAAAGACAATGAAAGAATCATTAATTAAATTGTAAGTTACAATGAATTGTTTAATATATTTATCATTTTACTCTTATATATATATATATATATTGCCCCTATTTTACATCAAAATATAATTAAAACATCTAATTATCTATTTTATTCATATAACAACTATATTGCAATTAAATTCATTGCATGTCTGGTCTTTTTTTTTCCAGAAAATAATTAATTACATCATTTTCTTGCGCATGAATCTTCAGTTACGAGTTCACTTTTATAATTTTCATATATTTAATCTTCATATTCTCATTTCTTAATCTTGACCTTTCAAATTTCTCACACAAATAAAAAAAAGAATACAAATGAGTAATTATTCTTTAAAGACAAGAAATTAAAGAAGATTCTTGTATCTTTTAAAGTTAAATTTCATGCTCTATCTTTTTTATATTTATTTTAATAGTATTTGAACTTTCAATTTTTCATGTGACTTTTCATGTTTCCGTAATTTTTGTCCTATAAATTTAACTTTTTCAAGAAATACTTTTATTTACTACTCCTATAATTCTTGTGTGTAGGAGCTCTAAACAGGTGAAATAATGTCACAATTTGTGGTGAAAGTTGTGAGATCCCCTTATACAATCAGGAGAATAGACAAGAATACAATTACTAAAGCATTGTAGATTGGTGTGTTAGTTTTATACTTATTTGTAGTAATTTGAATTATAATAAGACTTTGTATCTCTTTTGATATAGTTGAATTGTTGTTTTGTTAGCAACTTGCTTTAATTTCATATTTTTATTTTGTATGCTCAAATATTCAATTTACATTATAGAGACAAAAGCAAAAATAAATGCCTAATTGTCTTGCTCAAGTGTATCTTTTATTTGTTCTTTGTACTTATAATTTTACATATTCATTAACTTTAATCCTTAAGTGTAATACCTCGGTCTTAGAAATAGCTAAATTTAGAAAGAGTCAAATTGAGGATTTGGCTATGCTTAAGTTGTGAGTTTTGGGTCAACTTCAAACGGTCATAATTTCTAGGACATGATGAGTTAGGTGGCCTATAAGATATCAAATGAAAGGTCTTTGAATCCTCTTTCCAATGCTATCGAGTTTGCTAAATTTTGAATTCATATGAGGGATATATGCTCGTTTGAAATCAAACTGTCCAGTTAAGAAAGTTTACCCGAATTAGTGTGGGGTATTTTGGTCTTTTCCTTACCCCATCAGCTTAAAACATTTTTAGTAAGGTTTTAGGGGTCTAAAACAATTTGGGTCAATTTTCATAATCCTAAATACACTTAGGATTTTAGAAGAGAGTTCAAGAAGATAAAAAAGGAGAAAAAGAATAACGATCAAGATTTCTTGTGAATCGAGGATTTGTTTCGCCAAATCGAGGTATGTAAGTTCTCATAGTGTTGGATTCATTAACCCACACGCCAATCATGTGGTTTTTATCCTTAATTTCGTTCTTTAGGTTGAATGCTTTGAGTTCTTGAGGTTTTGTGCTTCGTTCTTTGATAATGAAGTTCTTGTTGAGTTCTTGAGGTGAGAGTTGCGAATGAGTTGAGTAAATTGTTTGTTTCTTGTGTGGGTTTCGCTGAGATTGTTCTGATTTATAAAAATTTGAGAGTTTTGACCTTAGAATTGCAGTGGGTATGAGTTGAATCGAGTTTGGGGGAGGAAGAAAAGATCGGGCAAAAATAAGCACCCAGGTCTGTGTCGCGGACATCTTCCCAATTCCAGTCCCCAGAAAAGTACCCCTCTCTCCGCGTCGTGGAGAGGATGCGGACCCTACTGTCCCAAAATTTATTTCATGGCCAAAAAATTTAATGCTTCTCCTTGTCGTGCCTTTGCTCCCCGTCAATATCTTTTTTTTTTTTTATCAAATATCTAAACCCCACTTAATCTTCACAAGATCCTTCATATTATAAATCATAACTCTTGAGTTCATAATTCAAATTCAAGATAGAGTTAAGAGTCAAGTTTGAGAGAGTCTTTCAAGTCATTTTGAGAAGTTTTTTACAAACTTTTAAAACTTGTTTTAAGACTTGAGTACTTGAGTATGATGATGAGTAGAGTTGAGTTTTATTTTTCAAATGAATATATGGGAACTAAGTATTCTCAAAGAGTAAATGTTTTTACATTTAAAATGAGGGGAAACATCGATTTTCAAATGAGTTCATGAGGAGTTTTGAGTACTATCTCTTTTAAGAGAAATCTTTCGACTAATAATCTCAAAGTTTGAGGATGAGGAAATGTTTTTAAACATATGAGCTGAGTTATATTTTGGGAGTAGTATTGATGATGGAATGTACGCGTCCACCAGTGATCACAGGACCAGGTCCCTTGTACAGTTATAGTGCGGAAAGTAAATAACTGGAAGTAAAATATGCACACACGATTTTATGTGGAAACCTCTTTGCTCATGGGAGTAAAACCCAACCTGTCACACACGATTTCCTTCACTAATCTCCAAGAAAAAGTGAATACTGATTTCAACCACAATAATGAGACTAAACACTTAATCTTACACTAAGTAATACCTATATTATTTACTGAGCCAAAGCAATGCATCCATTGCCCACTATATTAACTACCACGAATTAATATAAACTTCAACACCTAAGACACACAATTAACTCTAGCTGTGTTTTTACAACAATATACACAAAGTTTTTGAAACGTTTCTTTATGAATGTGAAACGAATCTTACCATCTAAGAACATAAGACACAAAGCTCAAAGTACAACAAAGACTCTTCAGCACTCTATCAGGTCCCTTGTTGAGTATGAGCAGTGTTATTCCTTGAAGATGGCATTCTCTTTGTAAGCTTATGAATTTTCAGAAATTCAAATATTTGTTTGCCAAATCTTGAGTTGTGTCTTTGGAGAAGAGACTATATCAAATAAATACAAAGACCTGGGGACGACACCATTAGTTGAGAGCCTGCTGTTGTGAAAAGCTATGCACCAACCATATCAGATGTGACAGCTCTTAGCTAGTTGTTGTTTGATTTTTTCACGTATGCAGTCTTTTCGGACCAGGTCCCTTGCGCCAGGAACACTCCCGGGTTGTCTGCCCCCACCCGTTTTTCATCGTTTATCCCGTCTAAGTCCTTCTAAAGTGTACTAACACTTCCTATTGATTCTAACTACTCCAAATGACTTCTAAACATCTAGAAATCATCCAGACACATGAATCCTAATCTTGAATCCATAAATTCAAATTCAAAGAAAGTGAAGAGCCAAGTCTAAGAAGTTCATAAAATCCTTTCAAGAAGTCTTTTGCAAATGTTTTAATCTTGTTTTAAGACTCGAGTTTTGAGTTAAGTAAGAGTAACAAATGAAGTTCATTTCTTCAAAAAGAGTATATGAGATAATCCCAAAGAGTAAATGTTTTCACATTTAAACAAGAGAGGAAACACCGATTTCCAAGAGAGCTTTTAAGCTAAGTTTTGACTAGTTGCCTCAAATTAAAGAAATAGTTTTGTTTTTAAAACCTATGAGCTGAGTATATTTTGGGAGTAGTATTGAGCACCGATATGGGGACGAGTTCATAATAACTCAAGTCTCCATAAACCATGTAGCCATCATGGGTAGAAATGATCATACTTTTTAGATGATTTCGTAGTGCTTTTTAGCATAGACTAATGGATCCACTTAGTTGAGGCGTTCTATATGACGGCAAAGTATAGGACAGTTTTGGCAGCGTGGGCGAGATGTTATATCATCACTTAGGCTCATAATGATGATTGTCGGTTAGAGAAATTCCCACAATATCATATTACTTTAAAGTAAACTGAGTTGTTATTGTATTTCTTTATTAAATTGAGTTATCATCTGTTGTTTTAATTTTTTTTGTATAAAATGCACCATTATTGTTGTTTTTACTTTGCATTTGAGTTGAGTATTCATGAGATGAGTAAAACTAAGGTAAGTGTTCTTTTCAGATTCCTTTCAAGCTTATGTCATGTTTAGTTTTCCCCTTGCATGCTTGTACATTAAATGTACTGATGCCATTTGTCCTGCATCATTTTATGATGCAGACACCGGTAACCAGGATCCACATCTGGTGCCTCGTTGATCCAGTTAAGCACTCAGAGTCAGTTGGTGTGCCTCTTTTCTTTCAGGAGGACTCTTTTTACATTGCTTTAGTATTTCAGTTGTTAGGATGATCCGGTGTCTTGTCCCAACATCCCTCTTTGTTTTAGAGGGTTCATAGACGAGTAGTCACAGTTCTTTAGTCTTGTATATCAGATGTTTTGCTATAAGACTTAAGTTGCCAATTATGGCTAGTTTGAATGTTTATCTTTAAACGTTCTAAGTTTATTTGAGACAGTTGTTTTAAAAATGCATTTGATTCTTGTAATAATGCTTAACGTCTTCCGCTGATAGTCTAGCCAGGCCAATGGTTCGCTTGGGGCCAGCAATGGTTCTTGAATGCCAGTCCCGCCCAGGGTGTAGGCTCAGGGCGTGACAAATTTTGTATTAGAGCATAGAGTTCAAGAGTCCTAGGGAGTCTATGAAGCCGTGTCTGTAGAGTCCTAGTTATCGGTGTGAAGCGCGCCACATCTATAATTAAGAGACTACAACATTTAGGAAATTCTTTTACTTCTTTCATACTCATTTCGTGAGGTAAAATTCATCTCTATAAAGTTTCCTTCTAACTCTTGCTTGCGCGTGTCTTTCAATTAATCATGCCTCCACGAAGAGTTGTCAGAGGTCGTCCTACTAGGCGTAACGTTGAGGAGCAAGGGATACCAAATACACCTGAAGTGCAACCTCAAGAAGAGGTCACCAATGTTGAATTTTGGGAAGCAATCCGAATGTTAAGTCAAGTTGTGACCAACCAGGTTGGGCAACGAAGAGGGGCTTGACAGGAAGAGACTGATACTTCGAGGATCCGAGAGTTCTTGAGGATGAATCATTCAAGTTTCACTTGTTCAAGCACTACTGAGGATCATAAAACTTTGTTGAGGAGCTATTAAAGGTATTTAAGGTTATGCACGTTGTCGATGCTGAGCGAGTGGAGTTAGCTGCATATTAACTGAAGAGTGTTGCTAGGACTTGGTTTGATCACTGGAAGAAGAGTAGGGATGAGGATGTACCGATTTTGAGTTGTGCTGTGTTTGAGGAAGATTTGTTAGGGCGTTTCTTTCCCCGTGAACTGAGAGAAGCCAAGGTACGGGAATTTCGTACCCTTAAGCAGGATTCACTAAGTGTTCATGAGTATAGATTGAAGTTCACCCAACTTTCTCGATATGCTTCGGAGATGGTTGCAGATATGAGGAGTAGGATGAGTTTGTTTGTAGCCGGGCTGTCTCGTCTGTCGAGTAAGGAAGGTAAGGCAACGATGCTAATAAGTGACATGGATATAGCAAGGTTGATAGTTTATGTGCAGCAGGTTGACGAAGAGAAACTGAGGGATACGTAGGAGTTTAGAAACAAGAAAGCTAAGACGGGGAATGAATCCAGGCAGTAAATAAGTAATGTGAATAGTTTTTCCTTTCAGCAAAAGCAAAAGGGGCCTGCTCCATCATTTGCTAGTACACCTGCACCCAAAATCAAAGGTGAGTACAATGGTCAGAATTCACAGAACTTCAGAGCTAAACCTGCACATTCTCAAGGTATTGTGGCACAATGAGGTAACTGGGATCCTGCATGTGCTAAGTGTGGTAGGAACCACCCAGGTAAGTGTCGTGATGGCTCTACTAGTTGTTTCAAGTATGGTCAAGAAGGTCACTTCATGAAAGAGTGCCCTAAGAACCGGCAAGGTAATAAGAATCATGGCAATAGAGGCCAATCTTCTTCAGTTGCTCCACCAGACAGAGCTGCACCTAGAGAAGCTACTTCAGGTACTAGCAGGGGAGCAAACCGCCTATATGCTATCGCTAGTTGCCAAGAGCAAGATGATTCGCCAGATGTTGTTACTGGTATGATCTAAGTCTTTAACTTTGTTGTTTATGCTTTACTAGATCCAGGAGCGAGTTTATCTTTTGTAACTCCTTATGTTGCGATGAGCAACTTCTTGAGCCCTTCAGTGTTTCTACATATGTTGGTGAGTCTATTATAGCTGAGAGAGTCTATCGTGATTGTACAATTTCCGTTAATCACAAAAGTACCATAGCTGACTTAGTTGAGTTAGATATGGTAGATTTTGACGTCATTCTAGGTATGGACTGGCTTCATGCCTGTTATACATCAATAGATTGTAGAACTCGAGTTGTCAAATTCCAGTTTCCTAATGAGCCAGTTATAGAGTGGAGTAGTAGTTCAACAGTGCCTAAGGGTCATTTTATTTCGTACCTTAAGGCGAGAAAGTTAGTTTCCAAGTGTTGTGTCTATCACTTAGTTCGAGTTAATGATTCTAGTGTTGAGACACCTCTTATTGAGTCAGTTCCAGTTGTGAGTAAGTTTCCAGAAGTCTTTTGTTATGATCTACCCGGAGTCCTTCATGAGAGAGAGATAAACTTCGATATAGATATTCTTCATAATACTCATCCTATATCTATTCCTCCATATAGAATGGCTCCAACAGAGTTGAAAAAGCTTAAAAAACAGTTGAAAGATCTCCTTGATAAGGGTTTTATTCGACCAAGTGTCTCACCTTGGGGAGCTCCAGTCTTATTTGTGAGGAAGAAATATGGTTCCCTTAGGATGTGTATAGATTACCGTCAGTTGAACAAGGTTACCATCAAGAATAAGTATCCTCTTCCGAGAATTAAGGATCTCTTCGATCAACTTCAGGGATCCTCTTGTTTTTCAAAAATAGACCTCAGATCTGGCAACCATCAGTTAAAAGTAAGGGAATGTGATATTCCAAAGATTGCATTTAGGACCCGTTATGGTCATTATGAGTTTCTGGTAATGTCATTTGGTTTAACTAACGCACCTGCAATATTCATGGACCTTATGAATAGAGTATTCAAGCCTTATTTAGATATGTTTGTTATCATGTTCATTGATGAGATTCTAATCTATTCGAGGAATAAGAAAGATCATGCTAGCCATCTCAGAATAATACTCCAATCTCTAAAAGATAAGGAGTTATATGCTAAGTTCTCTAAATGTGAGTTTTGGTTTGAGTCTATGGCATTCTTAGGCCAAATTTTTTCTGGTGATAGGATTAGAGTTGACACTCAAAAGATAGAGGCAATTCATAATTGACCTAGACCCACATCTCCAACTGATATTAGGAGCTTTTTGGGGTTGGCAAGATATTATATAAGGTTCGTAGAAGGGTTCTCATCTATTTCATCTCATTTGACCAAGTTAACTCAGAAAATAGTAAAGTTTCAATGGTTTGAAGCTTGTGAGAAAAAAATTCAGGAATTGAAAAAGAGGTTGACTACTGCCCAGTATTGACCTTACCAGAAAGTACCCAAGGTTTTGTCGTATATTGTGATGTGTCTAGAGTTGGTTTACGTTGTGTATTAATGCAGAATGACAAAGTTATAACTTATGCCTCCAGACAGTTGAAAGTTCATGAGAAGAATTACCCCACCCATGACTTAAAGTTGGCTGCCGTAGTATTTGCTTTGAAGATATGATGTCATTATTTGTATGGTGTTCATGTTGATGTATTCACTAATCACAAGAGTTTTTAGTATATGTTTAGTCAGGAAGCAAACAGAGAAGGTGGTTAGATCTACTCAAGGATTATCACATGAGTATTCTTTATCACCCACGTAAGGCTAATGTTGTTGCTGATGCCTTGAGTAGATTGTCGATGGGTAGTACCACCCATTTTGAGGAAGATAAGAAAGAGTTAGCAAAAGATGTTCATAGACTTGCACGATTAGGAGTTCGAATAATGGATTCCACAGAAGGAGAAGTAGTGGTGATGAATGAGACTGAATCATCATTAGTGTCAGAAGTAAAATAGAAGCAAGACCAAGATCCTATTTTGCTTGATTTAAAGGCAAATGTTCATAAGCAAAAAGTATTGGCTTTTGAACAAGGGGGAGATGGCGTATTGAGATATCAAGGTAGGTTATGTGTACCAAGGGTGGATGAACTCTAAGAAAGGATTATGGAGGAAGCTCCTACCTCCAGATATTCTATCCATCTGGGTTCCACAAAAATGTATCGTGATTTGAGAGAAGTTTATTGGTGGAGTAGTACGAAGAAGTGCATTGCAAAGTTTGTTGCTAAGTATCTGAATTTCCAACGAGTTAAAGTAGAGCACCAAAGGCCTGGTGGTATGGCTCAGAATATAGAACTTTCGGAATGGAAGTAAGAGATGATTAATATGGATTTCATTACTGGTTTGCCACGGTCTCGGAGACAACATGATTCTATTTGGGTGATTGTGGATCGAATGACCAAATCAACCCACTTTTTGCGATAAAGACTACCCATTCAGTAGAGTATTACGCCAAATTATACATTCATGAGGTAGTAAGACTTCATGAAGTCCCTGTTTCGATTATATTAGATAGAGGTGCACAATTTACCGCACAGTTCTGGAAATCTTTTCAGAAAGGTTTGGGTTCAAAGGTGAACTAGAGTTTTGCTTTTCATCCTCCGACAGATGGTCAAGCAGAGCGCACTATTCAGACCTTAGAAGATATGTTGAGGGCCTGTGTGATTTATTTTAAGGGTAATTGGGATGATCACCTACCTCTCATTGAGTTTGCTTATAGCAATAGTTACCACTCTAGCATCCAGATGGCTCCTTATGAAGCTCTTTATGGGAGAAGATGCAAATCTCCTATTGGAAGATTTGAAGTTGGTGAAGCTGGGTTGATAGGACCAGACTTAGTTCATCAAGCTATGGAGAAAGTGAAAGGTATTCAAGAGAGGTTGAAAACAACGCAGAGTTGTCAGAAATCCTACACTGATATTAGGAGGAGGGAGTTAGAGTTTGAAGTAGATGATTGGGTATACCTGAAGGTTTCACCCAAGAAGGGTGTTATGATATTTGGTAAGAAGGGGAAGCTTAGTCCTCGGTATATTGACCCTTACAAAATATCCAAAAGGATTGGCAATGTAGCTTATGAGTTGGAGCTATCCCAAGAGTTAGCAGCAGTCCATCCGGTATTTCATGTTTCCATGTTGAAAAAATGCATGGGAGATCCTTCGCTTATCATACCAACTGAAGATATTGGTATCAAGGAATGCTTGTCATATGAGGAGATCCCTGTTCAGATTCTAGACCGTCTGGTTCGCAAGTTGAGGACCAAGGAAGTAGCATCAGCCAAAGTTCTTTGGAGAAATCAATTTGTTGAGAAAGCTACTTGGGAAGTTGAGTAGGATATGAAGAAGAGATATCCATATCTCTTTGAGCCCGGAGAAATTCCAGATCAAGGTACTAATTCTCTTATTAGTACTCTTTAATTGATATGCTTAATGTGTTAGATTTGATTGTTGGGTGTTTGAACTGAATATTTGATGTTACGCCCTTCGCTTATTAAGAGTAATCTCATTTGAGGACGAATGTTCCCAATGGGGAGATATTGTAACATCTCGCTAAGTGAAAGAGCTAGAATTAGAAAAAGCAATTTTTGGAAAGAATGAAAAATCTGGAAATTTGTTTAAGTTATGTTAAGTTGGAGTTTTTGGTCAAATTCAAATTACAATAACTCCTAGCTCAAGAGGATTTAGGTGTGTTTCCAGATACCGTAGGAAAGATCTTTTAATTATCTTTCCAACGCCACCAAGTTTGCTCAATTTTCAGTTCGTATGAGGAAGATATGCCCATTGGAAGTCGGGCTGTCTAGATAAGGAAAGTCAAAACTGGATTTTTAAAGGTTATTTTGGCCTTTTCCGTACCCACTTGATTTAATTCGTTTTTAGTGAATTATTTAGGGTCAAAACTGAATTTGGTTAAGTTTGGACAATTGTACATTCATGCTAGGGTTTTAGAGAGAAGAACTCAAGAGAGAAGATAAGAGGAAAATCAAGATTCATCGTCTTCGTAAGGAATTGATTGCGGATTTCGTCAAGGATTTGATCCTACGAGGTATGTGAGACTTTCATAATGTTGGGTTCGTTCTCCCATGTGCCAAACATGTTTATTTCAGCGTAAATTTATCCTAAAAAGATTGGAAGTTTGAATATTCTTGATGGGTGTTCTTGAATTGCTTTCGTTCTTGAATTTGGGTTGAGATTGAGGAATTCTTGAGAGTTTAATGTCGATTATTAGAGTTACTTTAAGTTAGATTCTTGTGTATATGTTTTGGGTACCTGAATCTAAAGAGATATTGAGAAAAAAGAATCGAACTTAATCGAATTAAAGTCAAAAAATGAGAGAAAAAGTTCGTCAGCTTTGCCTGGGGGGATGCTTGCGTGACGTTCCCCGTAGCGCCAGGAAGGCTAGGGAGGCACGTTAGCAATGCGCCAGAAATGAGCCCCAGTCACTTAGGGGCAGGCGCGCCGCACCAGGAACACCCCCGGGTCGTCTGCCCCACCCGTTTTTCATCGTTTAACCCGTCTAAGTCCTTCGAAAGTGTACTAACACTTCCTATTGATTCTAACTACTCCAAATGACTTCTAAACATCTAGAAATCATCCAGAAACATGAATCCTAACCTTGAATCCATAAATTCAAATTCAAAGAAAGTGAAGAGCCAAGTCTAGGAAGTTCATAGAGTCCTTTCAAGAAGTCTTATGCAAATGTTTTAATCTTGTTTTAAGACTTGAGTTTTGAGTTAAGTAAGAGTAACAAATGAAGTTCATTTCTTCAAAAAGAGTATATAAGAACTAAGTATTCCCAAAGAGTAAATGTTTCCATACTTAAACAAGAGAGGAAACATCGATTTCCAAGAGAGCTTTTAAGCTAAGTTTTGAGCAATTACCTCAAATCAAAGAAAGAGTTTTATTTTTAAAACATATGAGCTGAGTATATTTTGGGAGTAGTATTGAGCACTGATATGGGGACGAGTTCATAATAACTCAAGTCTACATAAACCATGTAGTCATCATGGGTAGAAAGGATTATACTTTTTAGATGATTCCTTAGTGCTTTTCAGCATATACTAGTAGATCCATTTAGTTGAGGCATTCTATATTACGACAAAGTATAGGACAGTTCTGATAGCGTGGGCGAGACGATGTATCATCACTTAGGCTCATAGTGATGGTTGTCGGTTAGAGAAACTCCCACAGTATCATATTACTTTAAAGTAAACTGAGTTGTTATTGTATTTCTTTAATACATTGAGTTATCATCTGTTGTTTTAAATGCTTTGTATAATCTGCACCATTATTGTTGTTTTTACTTTGCATTTGAGTTGAGTATTCATGAGATGAGTAAAGCCAAGGTAAGTGTTCTTTTCAGATTCCTTTCGAGCTTATGTCATGTTTAGTTTTCCCCTCGCATACTCGTACATTCAATGTACTGATGTCATTTGGCCTACATCATTTTATAATGCCGACACAGGTAACCAGGATTAGCATCCAGCGCCTCGTTTACCCAGTTGAGCACTCAGAGTCAGTTGGTGAGCCTCCTTGCTTTCCGAACGACTCCTTTTACATTGATTTAGTATTTCAGTTGTTAGGATGATCGGGGGTCTTGTCCCAACATCCCTCTTTGTTTTGGAGGCTTCATAGACAAGTAGTCACAGTTCTTCAGTCCTGTATTTCAGATGTTTTGCTATAAAACTTGAGTTGCTAATTATGGATAGTTTGAATGTTTATCTTTAAATGTTCTAGGTTTATTTGAGACAGTTGTTTTACAAATGCATTTGATTCTTGTAATAATTCTTAAAGTCTTCCGTTGAGAGTCTAGCCAGGCCAAGGGTTCGCTTGGGGCCAACAATGGTTCTCGAATGCCAGTCCCTCCTAGGGTGTAGGCTCGGAGCGTGACAAACCTGACAAAACAGTTTTACAGTTGTACCCCATTTTGAATCTGGACTAGACCACTCTGCCAATGATCGGGTCCCTGCATTTGTGAGGATCATCAAATCACCTAGAATATAACATTTTCCCCTTTTTTGATGATGACACACAAATATTCCTCACACTGAGTTTATTCATTCATTTCCCATGTCGTTAGTCCCAACAACAAGCATCTGGTCCCTTGTTAGATATCTAAGTTTGTTAAATCATCAAAACTTAACATGAGCTCCAAATTAACATCCCTCCCCCCTTTTTTGATGATAACATACTTATAAACCTTCTTCCCTCTTTCACCAGTTCCTCCTGTCAGCATGACTCTTCAGGTAGCTGGATTGGTCCCCTTATTTTCATCATTTCCAAAGTTTGTCAAATCATCAAAACTTTACATCAGCAACATAATAGAATTTCCCCCCTTTTTGATGATGACAAACTTGTTCAACTTCTTCCCCCTATCGGCTTGACCATGTCCTCTTCAAGTAACTAGCATTGATTCCCCTTATCGGCATGGCCATGTCTTCTTCAAGTAGCTAATGTTATACCCCATTTTAACTCGAAGTCTAAACGGTGTACAACATATTGGTGAATCTTAATGCTAATTTAAAGAGT